GCCGTGAAAGCCTTCGACAATACATTTTCCATGGTTGTTTATCGCTATGGATACATGTAGAATGAATCACTTTTAGAAAACTAAGTGTACTTTCTTGATTGCTTTATAAATCAGAATGCTATAAATACATAATTTTAAGAGCCTGTATATTTATCCATCTAGTGTTGCAGTGAAGCACCTCACAAGATTGATATACTTTCTGTGAATGGAGTAATCAAATTCACTGTACAACTGTTCTTAACTCTATAAATACTTCATTCAGGTATTGAAAGAGGAGTAGTATATCCCCTCTGCATTCCTAGTTCTCTGTCCACAAAACTTAGTTTCTGATCCCTTGATTATCCTAGTTGCAGTCTTCTGAACCTGTTCCATTGTCTCTGATTTGTTCTGGAAGTGTGCTGCCCAGAAGAGGGCACAATACCTGAGATCTAATCACCACAGAATAAAGTGGAACTGTTATTTCATGTGACCTGTTCCTTTGTTGATGGAGCCTAAAATTACATTTGTCTTTTTTGTAGCTCCATCACAAAACTGATTCCTATTCCATTTGAACTGACTGCTATGGACACTTCCAAAATGATGGAAGCAGCCTGTTTTGAATGTGAAATAGAGGTCTTAAATGCAAAACAATTATTTTGAACTCAAAACAGGGTGTTCCAAATTCAAAAAGGTTCAAAATATTTTGCACACTAACAATAGCTATGGGATTACAATTTTTGAATAAGATGTGTATCCACTTAATTGTTTTTATATAATTTTTATTAGAAATGTTTACAGAAGTAAAAGATAAATATGAAAATGTATAAAGCAAAGTTAAAAAGATAAAAGTGTGAAGAAAATACAGATAGAAAAAGAAAAAAGATAAAGGAACTTCTGATCTTTACAGTTGTTGTTGTTGTTGTTCAGTCGTTAAGTTGTGTCCGACTCTTCGTGACCCCATGAACCATCTTGCGCCAGGCCTTCCTGTCCTGATCTTTACAGTACTTACAAGCAAATTTATAATCCCTCTTCCCTTTTTAAGATTACATTACATTACATAGTTCCCTTCTATCCCATATTCAACCCTTTTTAACCAGCAAATCCAGAAATCACCATTTCATTTTTTCCATTTTTAGCAAAAAGTCCACAAAAGGTTTCCAGTTCTTTTTATAAAAGTACTTATTGTTTTATCCCTGATCAAACAGGTCACTTTTGCCATTTCTGCGAATTCTGCCATCTTCACAATCCAGTCCTCCATTTTGGGTGTTTCAGTATTTCTCCATCATTTGTGCATATAATAGTTTTGCTCCAGTTACCACATATAAAATCAATTTTCTGTGTATCTAACTGGCTATCCATAAGTCCCAATAAAAAAAAGTTATGGTTTCATCTTAATATTGATCTTTAA